CACCAGGTGTGGCAGGGGGAGGGGAGACGAAGTGCAGTTTAAAATTGAAAGTGTGCACTGGCACTCGGGAGGAGGCTGAGAAATCCCCCTGCCAAGTGCCGTTGAATGTGCTCACTCCCAAGGCCCTAAGTGTGTGTTGCGTGGAATGTCGTCAGTGGACGTGTATAAGGTGCAAATAAAATTGGGGGGCAGGTTGCCACAGGAATGCGGAAATGGGGTCCATACCCGCACTCCCTGACTTGCCCACCCCCAAGGTCCTATGTGCATGTTTGTGTGATGATGTGAGGGAGCAGGAGGAGAGAAATGTGTGGGGATGGGGAGGAATGGCTGGTTGGGCTTATCCCTCCAGGGAGCCAGCTCCCCCACTGGCCCCAATAGGCACCTTTGTTATCAAATTGCCACCCAGGGCATGGAGACCCCAGCCCATCCTGCCAGGGCCCAAAGCAGCAGCATTACAGAGCCTCACGGAGTCCGAGGGCAACAACCCAGCCCCACCCCAGCAGAATATCTATGCCCATCCCTGCATTTGCACAACTTCCAGAATATATAAGACATAGAACATCCAGGTAAGGTTGGGTCCTCCCCCTCCTGGACCTCCCCCTCCCCTGTGATGGGACAGCAGAGGAGCCAAGGTCTACCCGAGGCCCCTGAACCTGGGCCAGGCACTGCTGCATGTTCCTGCCTTCTTCCCGGCAGCATACATGTAAGGACCCGACCCCCAAGGCCCCGCCCACATCCCCACACGGGGCCGGCCACCCCGAGGCAACCCAAGCACTTCCAGAGGGGGACAATGGCCCCCCAGTCCCAGACACCCCCAGTGAACCCACCTCCAGGGAACATCCGGATACTCCAAACTCAGACCCTCCACCCCCCCCACCCACATCATCCCGCAGGACAATATCAATGGTCCCCCATCGTCGCTATGTGATGGAACCGATCAAAGGAGCCCAGAAAGATTGATTTGAAGTGGAAGCAGAGGCTAAATCAAGTGCAATATGATCTAACAAAAGATTTCTATACTGGTTAATGCAGAGACTTTCTCTATTTTTCCAATTCAAGAGGATAGTTTTCTTAGCGATGCATATGGCAGTCAGAACCACGTGAACCAAAGATGTTTCAATCAGGACATCGTCCAGCTTCCCCAGTAAACAAAGAGAGGGGGAAGTTGGGATATGACATTTCAGACACTTTGACAGATCCTCACATACTCTACCCCAAAATTCCTGGACAGGTAGACAGAACCACAGTGCATGAATGTAATTGTCAGAAATGTTGTTTGTGCAGTGTGTACAGGTGTCAGATGACACAAACCCCATCTTTAACATCCGATGACCTGTATAGTGTACTCTGTGTAGAATTTTGTACTGAATTAATTGTAAATTGGAGTGTCTGATCATTTTAAAAGTTTTTTTAACAAGTTTGGGACCAGAAGTTCTGGTCAAAGCTAACTGATAGATCCACCTCCCTGTCAAGGAGGAAACTGATTCCTGCAGAGACGCGTTCTCAGCTGTGAGCCGCTCCACCTGCTCCTGGCTAAACTCCAGAGATGTTCGGAGGTCCTGGAACTCCTTGTGAAGCACCTCTAGCAGGTGGAGTCGCCCCTCAAATCCCAGAAGCCGTTTATCTATGGACTGTAGTAAATCTAGTACATCCTCATGGGGAGATGCGGCCTCGGGCAAGTCCTGGGGACGGCTCCTCTTGGTCTCAGGTGTTTCCGTCTCAGCTGCTGCTGCTTTCTTCGGGCCCATGACAAAAAGCTCAAAAACCTCGTCAATATATATTTGCAAATTTTCTAAATTTTCTCCACTTACCTCCATGTTGAGTGTGTTATATTTACCAGATTTTTTTTTTTTTTTGCATTGTCAGTGAGTAAATTACGTGAAGATCTGTCTTAATTGTTTGTGGAAGTTGATTAATAAGCTGCCATCTGCTTCAAAACGCTGCCATGTGTCCGGTGATCGGGCCGTCAGTGCATGCGCATGCTCCCGAAGTGAAATAAAATTCAAGTGACTCAACAACCAGGCTCTGAGGCTCGCACAGAATAAACAAGAACACTTGGCTCTGAAACTTGCAGCCCATACTGGTTTAATTGGGTAGTTAAATGAAGATGTATTCATCTTTGCTGTTTAGGATGTTGCTGTGCACTGTTTTAGAGTACAGGTAATTCTTTTTTTAAATACATTAACCAGGTGTGAGGCTGATTTAACAGGCTTGAAGCTGGTTTTATGGTGCATAGTTGAAGAGCTTTTTCAAAGTATTTGTTTCTAACGTAGATTTGAATCAAAAGAAATTTGTGGGACAGGTTTGAGGTGAGGATCCTAGACTAATATGAGTCTTTGTGTTTGCATGTGAGAACAGTTGGACGCTGATGTCTTTGCAAAAGCAGACAAACAGCATGCAGCCTTTATTTTGAAAAGCCAGGCCCAATGGGATCACTGCTTTTAAACACAGAGCCAATGGGATCATTGCTTTTAAACACAGAGCCAATGGGATCATTGCTTTTAAAAACAGAGCCTGAAGGTGCTGAGATCTGCAGCCATGAGGTGCATTTGAAACTGTTCCAAAGGTTTAAGGAATACGTTTAAAATAAAAAATATTGGGATTCTGGTGCCGCCACTTTGTCACCCTGTGTTGTTCCCTCTCAGATGTAGAAGTAGTAAAATGTAGACGTTTCTCATCACAATGCCAACCCCTTGCAAACCACTATATTTTACTTATTTTTGTACAAACATTGCGTATTAAGTCCAGCTCATATTCACCAAACACAGACTAGCCTGTTGGTGAATGATGTTTGTGCCAACGATGGAAAAGAAAGGATTACTTGGCGTAGGTGGGCTGCTTCAGAGCCCTCTACGTTTCTTCCATCAAAAGATAAGGAAGATGATAGCAAGCATATGGCTTTTATAAACTCTTCATCATTTTCAATCACTGATAAACTTTCTTCCCTCCCGCCTGCTCACAACAGCTCTAGAATTCTCCCTTTGCGTCAAACTTTGGCTGAACTTCTTTTCTTCAAGGCTTTCGAGAGTTGGAAGCAAATGGGAAATCCATTGAGTCTGACTTGTGAAGCTGTAGCTTTGACATCTTTGGTAAAAACATTTGAGACTTGTGTGAGGCTGTAAAATCTTTATGGGAGTCGAGTGTAAACACAGCTTCCACTTCACAGTTTAGACTCAGAGCTGTTGTGTCAGGCTGTGATGACACTAAATTCTACTCAGACCAGTAAGAGAGAAGAGTCAGAGAGCAAAAACGAACACACACATTTTAGCACTCATGAGCTCATAAATGCACTTTACACATTTTATATTTCTTAAAGGTCAAGTTCACTTAGAAACCATTTTTACTTACTTATGAAATATGATCAGTCATTCTGAGTTTGTCATGCAGTTAAATGTGAAAATAGTCCTCTATCCCTACTGCATTAGCTTCTGAAAGAACCTCCACAGTGAGACGCTAAGCGTTTAAAAGCTTGACAGAGCTACATCACATTGCTAAAGGAAGCAGCAGAAAACGCCTCGGCTAGTAGAGGCTAATGTCAGCATCAGCAGCTCTACAACATGGCAGAACTTCTTCAGACTTGTGTTATTTGTGGATATAAAACATCAATGCTGCAGAGCAAATGGAGTCAGTGGTAGAGTTGTGTTGCTGTTAGCCAATCAGAGGCGAGAGCCAGAATATTAGGAAATATAACTCCAATACCCGCCCTTCTCTTCTCAGCTCTGCTGTGGCTCACATCCACTTCCTGAAATAGGACTGCCAGAGCTTTTACCCCCATAGAGATCCACTCACTAGACATTCGTTCATACTAGAGACCACTGCAGATGTGTTAAAAAACGAGTGAACTTGGCAGAGGTGTGGACTTGAGTCACATGACTTGGGCTCGAGTCAGACTTGAGTCATTATTTTAATGACTTCAGACTTGATAAAATTTATAAAAATGTATGACTTGACTCGGACTTGAACGCCAATGACTTGCGACTTGAATCGACTTGTATCTGTTGACTTGATGATGACTTGAGCACATTTGATATTTTAGCACAAAAGTGGCCCGACATGGACAAAAATCATGAATCAGTCTTCGTTCTGGGTTTGATCTTGTACGGCCAGCTGCAGCAGCACTTTGTTTATAATCAATTTCAGTTGCACTTCCAACTTGTTTGAGCAAATAAATGAAGCTTTAAGAAGCTTTATGTCTGGAATTTATTTATTATCATTGTCATTACATTTAAGTTTGACAGATGACTTGATTATGACCTGAAAATTCTAAGTTAAGGACTTTGGATTCGACTTGGACTTGGTTGTCTTTGACTTGGACATAACTCAAGACTTGACTGAAAGACTTGTGACATACTTGTAACTTGCAAAACAGTGATTTGGCCACACTTCTGGAACTTGGTCTTTAACCTGAAAACCCAACCTTTTTGTATTCTGAACCAGTGATTTAAGTGTATTTGATAGAAGAGATGAGAGTTTCAGAAGCTGGTTTAACCTTTGATCTTCCCCTGAAATAAAATTATAAGGTGAATCAAAAAAAAAAAAGGATTTGAACTCCCAGATAGAAAGGACAGGTGGTCAGGGAACAACCACGATGATTTCACTTCCTCCACCACAGAGAGGACTTTGAGATTGATTATAAACGTGACCTCAGTTAATCCAGTAGTACTGAATTACATAACAGGACAGAAGAAGACAGTGAGTTAAACATTTATGATTATAATGCCGACGTTATTAATTGTGTGCTCCTCCAGAGTACAAAATGTCAAAAGGCCGATGAGTAAATTGATGATGTAACTCCTACAAGTTTGTACATGACCTTAATTTCTTTATATTACTGCTTTTACTGAGATCCGGATACTAATAAGCATTTGCTATGAACCCCTGTTCCACACACGTACATCCTCACATGTCAGATTTCTTTTATTTGGCGCATGTTTACACTGAATTTCTGTAAAAGAACAGCTTTTTTCTGACCTTTCCTGCTTTTGTCTTTATTACTGCAGGTAAAGTGTTGAACACGGACCTGCGCCACTACCTCAGTCTGCAGTTTCAGAAGGGCTCGCTGGACCACAAGCTCCAGCAGATCATACGAGACAACCTCTACCTACGCACCATACCCTGTAAGTACTACAAGTGAGCTCCAGTTCACTCCAGCCCAGCTGCTAGCGCAGCACCAACTGTACAGAATAACCCACTTTCAGTGCATGCATGCTTTTATCCAAAGCACCTCATGGGAGTAATTAGGATGCTCCAAATGCATCACACAACTGGAAATCCATCACACAAGAAGCTGCATTAGTGTGTTGCCGTTCCATTAAAGAGGGCCTGTATACACAAAACACGTACACACACACGCACGCACACACACACACACACATTTCTCTCATCCGCAAAGTGCACACTTTTAGGCATCGCCATGGCAACGCTGTCAAGGACATCTCTCGATCCCCCCATGTAACTTATTTACTTCTGTACCTTATCATCACAGTGATCAAAGTCATATTCTGCAATAAATAACCCTCCTTTTCTGCTTCTGCGGCAACGCTTTCCTTTGCTGACTGCGTGCTCACAGAAGCCGTCACCCCCAATTATTCTTTTCTGAAATCAATAATAGGGTGGTAAATAAGGTTGGAGCTGCAGACTGACAGAACTAATGCTGAGAATGGCAGCTGTGTTGGTAATAGTAAATCATGCTCGTTGGAAATGTCCTTGGTTGCAGCATATTTTAACAGCTGTTGATCCAGTAGCCAGGAGAAATCCTGCATGAAATTGTGTCCATTATTATTGCAGCAAGTGGAAATGTTTCATGATGTCCGGCGTGTTTAGAGTGGGGGAAAAATGTAGAATTAGCTTCTCTTTTTTTTAAAAAAAGGACTTCTATTGATGAAATTCCTCTTTCTGTGAAGCGAGGAGGAGAGAAACATTCAATCTATAATCAGCAGCGTTTTCGAACCAACAGGAAGGTTTCAGATGCTTCAGTGTTGCAATCTTTAGAAAAGAAAGCATGGAAGTTGTGAGCATAAGAGACAAGGTTGTTAGTGCAGCAAAGGTGTTAAATCAATATTCAGATTAAGGTTTCTGTGGGCGGCAGAAATGAAGAAGTACAATTTTCACTCTGATGGGATTCATTTTAAATGTGTGGAACACTCGTTTAATCAGTTCATTTGCAATGGTCTTTGGGGGGAAAAATCCCCGGTGTACCAGTTACAGGAACCAGACCAGAACTGAGCTTCAGATGGTGGGATTTGGTCTCTTTATATCCTGATATTTGGACATCTCGCTTCTGATTGGATGAGAGAAATGTGACTCTATCACTGGCTTGCAACATTGGTGTTTTATCTCCATAAATAACACAACCGTGGAGCAGTTCTGCTGTGTGGTGGAATTGCTAATGCTAACGATTACCTTCTGCTGGTGAGACATTCTCAGCTGTTTCCTGGACGCTAAACTAAAAACGGCCTTCCTCGTCGTGAGTCAAGTTGGGTGAGTCAATGAATATTCAGTGACAGACTGACATAGATCTGTCGGCTTTTCAAATCCTAGAGTTTCATCCTCTAGTTTCTATCAGAAGCTAATGCAGGAGGTGTAGAAAACTATTTTTATGTTCAGCCTGCATGGAAAACTCAGATTGTTTAGTGTTCCACACCTTTAAAGAATTACATTTTCTAATAATTTAAATTTATTCAAATATTCCATATAAATACAAAAAGACTTTTCTTCATTCATATGACTGAATGAACTATCTAGCCACACTTGTTTCGTCTTTAATGCAGGAATTTGGCTGAGTTTAAAGCTCAGTCTGATGTTCTAATACAGCAGAAGTGATGCTTCTCACTCAGATATTGTTTCTTAAATATTTTCCATGTTTCGCTGAAGACTCTGCTCTGTTCAGAGGAATTCCCTAATTGAGGATAGTTGAGGTTCTTGTTGGATATACAGAGTAGGAGCTCCTGAGGCGATGTTTGGGCACAGAGCTGTCACAGCACTCTCACTCCTCCAGGGCAGGAAGTAGCTCTGACTTGTTCTGAAGGAACGTGCATGCACAAGTGTGAAATCTTAAGGAAGTAAGCTGCTTACCTTCCATGTATATTTAATTTGTGCCAGTTTTTTATTATTGAACAGGGTGAATCGTTTCTCCCTGGGCTTCGGTGGACTCCCTGTGTGCCCCATATACCTTTGGTCTGCCTGTGAGTCATGTTCAGAGCTGAGTTGTTTCCTGGGTTTCCGGCTTTGACTTGAATAGTTATTGGATTTTTCTTTTTAAAGCTCAGTTGCACTGGCGGTCTTTTGGGTCAGTTACAGTGGTTGGACAGAGCGTGATTACAGAGGGATTTCTCCATCACCACTGCTACCTGTCATTTTTATCTGCTTCTTCCTTTGAACACGCACCTGCACACACTTCCTCCTGTTTCTCTTTGTTGTGTGGTGCTGTGTTTTTGTTTATTTTGTTATTTCAGACAAAACGGCATGTTCTAGCAGTGGCCTTTCAACCATATTCCTCAGGAGCAGCAACCAGACTCTCACTCTAATCCCCTGCTTGAATTACTGTCTTAATGAGGAAGAGACGAGGACTCACACAGTCATGGCACCTCCATCATTCATTTGTTCTCTTTCAGTCTCCCATCTTTACCCCGCTCTGTTTCAATTTTGCTTCCTCTCTGTTTAAATTAGCCCTGCTTTCTCTCTGTCCTCAGCCAGTCTGACTTGCAAGCTGACATGAAGATATAGAAAAATGCATAACAGATTTTGATCATTTAATTGTAAGTTGAAATACTCTGTTGTTTTAGATTATTCTAGAGTCACTTTGGCTCTCAGACTTATGCAAACATGCTGTCATCTAAAACATGTCCTCCTAAAGTACACCTATGGGCTTTGTAATGATAACATAGTTAGGGGCATTAGCTGTTTTCACCTCTTCAGATAAAGGCAACAGAAAAAAATGTTCTGTACTCTTAGCATCACTTCACAACCCTTTAGCTGATTTTGTCAACCCAGTGTGTCAAATAAGTTTCCCGCTCCCCAACCCTCTGGTTGAAAGCAGAATTACAACTGTCAAAAACAACCCTGCCACAGCCTGCTGTAGCTAGCGCTAACACTCGGCATACTAAATAAGCCTCGGAGTAAAAAGATCCACACTGCTGGACAAAACCTATTATTACTTATTGTCACGCTGCATTGGAGATAGTGGTGAACCCATGTGTGGTAGAGGCAGAAATGGCAGATCAGGTAAAAAATGGCTTTAACGAATAATGGCAGGTAGGATGGCACAAACAGGTGCAACGTAACAGTGAAGACAGTACAGTTATCTGAAAAATGACAAGTGCAAAACAGGGAGCATTATAATCAGGAGCACACAGGTAGGCTAACAAGGGGCAGGTTTAGTCCAATAAACAACTAAATAGAGGAGAAAGAGTCAAAGGGGGTGGAGAAGATCCTGACACAAGTTCAGAAGCAACAATGCCAGGTCACCATTAAGCCTTTTTTCCAGGAACACTACTTAGCCCAAACCAGCTCTGTACAGCTTGGGTTTGAGTCAGTCTGTCTGAGTGTAGTTTTGCTCCCATGCCAGATCCATGACAGAAAGTGGGTGTGTCCCTCATAGATTCGGGGGTTGGGTGATTTTTACTTGTGACAAAATAACACGAGGTGATCAGTAAACAGTGTAAGGTAGCCTGTATGCTCCACAGAAACACAACTCAGCTGAAAAATGTTAGTGTTGCTGGGCATTTAGCTCAGTTTAGTGGCTTTTTGTCAGACTCTGAACCAGGAAATGGCTGCAGGCTGTAAAGCAGAAGACAGAAAACTCCGGAGCAACCAGTGACTCTGCCCCCTAGCCAATCAGCGGCCAGAATCATGATGCCAGCCCGACTCAGCCTTGCAGGTACCTCAACGGAGCAAGGACTAAAAATAGGGGAGAAAGTAGAGGGAAAATACCAAACCGTGCCCTTGGGAACAGTGGTCGGGCCTAGCTGCATCGGTCTGCATCACAGTGTTCCTGGAAAAAGGCTTATGTCAGTGATTTTGTAGCCTCCTTAAGCTCCGTCGCACTAGTGTAGGCCGTGCAGATGTTCACTCTGGTTTTAGCTTTTCACTTCACCTCCAAATTAACTCTTTTACTTTTAAGCTATGCCATGATACCAACAAACTAGCAAAATTCTTCTGTTTCTTCTTGTAATTTAAAAAAAATCTAACTGCTAACCTTTATATTAGCTATTGACAGTGTAAACAGTTAATAGCCAATAAGCAGGCACAGAGTTCCCCCTAGTGTACTTACCTGTGCCACAAAACCTTTAAGAGTGCTATCTATGGATGCAACGGATCATCATTAATCTGTGGTCCGCACAGATCTCTCTCTCGCATACATGGTACGTGGATCGGTCACGTGAACGGCAGAGGTGCCACCTGTTCAATCCAAACAAGAAAAGTACAGTGGTGGAGAGGAGTTGAAAAACCACCTGCATCGTTTAAGTCGCGTGTGTGGGAGCATATTGGTTTCCCTGGGAACGATAGTGGTGATACAAACTGCAAAAATTAACACACACACGTGCCTCCAGTCTGACGGTGCAGCACCGTTCACAAGTACCTTCAAACGCTGTGACAGGAGGGAGGCAGTGGCATGCACAAAATGCCCGAGACACTTATTACATGAAAGTGGTGGGACCTTTAAAGATTGTTGGGGACAAGTCTGTAAAAGACGAGGAAAGAAAAAAAAAAAACAACGCATCAGGAATGTGAGGGAATGAGTGAAAGCAGGACCCGGCAGTGATCATAGCTGTGTCAAGCTGTTTTATCATTTAATCAGCAATCGGACCTCTCTGTAGTTTTTGTTTTCATAGCAAGTTGCAATTTCAACAGAAAAATGTTTCACTAAGTCTGCTACAAATAAAGAACAAAGATATTTGTCTTTTCCTTTTGTATTCTTTCTGCTGATCCAAAAAATAGTGACTGAAAACCGTAAAATGGTCCAAACCGTGAGTTTTTTGACCCGTTGCATCACTAGTGCTGTCCCGTGTGAAGTTAGTACAGTTTCTAACTCAATCATCACTGAAACCATTTTGAAAGCAATAGTTTAAAGTGTTAAAATTCTTTTCCGTTGTTTTAAAGAATCAGATTTTCACTC